ATATTAATTAATTAATATTGCTTAAATGAAGAACACTGTAGCTGAATTTGTTGTTAAATAACACTTCAACTTTTTTTTTTTCCCCATCTAGTTTTCTTTCTGATGTTCTTTAACAGCTCGCTGATCTTAGCCACGGTTGATCTTGGAGTCTAACCGTTTGAGGCTATGGACAGATATCTTTCATCCAGAAAACAAGTTCTAACAGGTACCATCAATTGGTGACCAAATACTTATTTTTCCACCATAATAGACATATAAATATTAATAATCCTACTTTTCATTTCACTCTCAAAGGTAGGAAATCTTGCAGAGTGGCTGGCTGAATACTTTTTGTCCCAACTGTACTTTAAAGTGATGCTTTTATTTTTTTTATTAGTGATCCATTTGTATTGTAATCAGTTTGGTTTCTGTTGTATTAAATGGCATGTTTGCAGGGATTTGGGGTAAATAACAGATCAACACAGTGCCACCATGTTGTTTGAAATCAATTGAAAGAAAAACCTAACTAGTGTAACAAAAACATATCTGAGTGTGTAGGTCACATGTCAGTATTTTCAATATAAAATCACTAAATCATGAGTAGAAAATTAAAAACATGGACAAGTGCATTTTATTAAAGAATAAATTACAAGAATACACAGATGTATAAATAATGTCAAATAACACTGCAAATTATACTTTAAATGTGTCACGGTAACTTTACAAAAAGTAATCTATAAATAAGTACCATGATGTTGTATTACTGACTCAAAGGGGCCACAGGGGGTCGGACAGCAGCGTCTCAACCTCATGACACACTCAACTCACATATGCAGAAAAATCCAATTAATAATGTCGACGTGAAAACTGACAGCCTGTTTGGAAAGAAGCATGCACAAACAAACACAATCCCACATATTTCTGCTGTTAGACCTTCCATTGAACTAAAATCACAACATCATACTGACATATGTGACTCTATAGTCATGATCGATTTACTGGAGGATTACATCATTTAGTTTTGGCATAATGGTTCTCCACAATATAGCGACTGTACAAGGTAGAACATGGATAAGTCTTGAACTTGGCAAACTTGGTAAACATGTTTACAGCTCGTTTATTTAACAAACACCATTAGAGCATTAAAGTTTATAATAAACCTGATATGTTGGCATGCTCTGTAAACATTTTCAGGTGAAAAAAATTGGTAAATGAAAAATAGACTGAGCATCTATGGTCTTTTTCTCCCCTATCAATAAAACTGTTTTAAAGTTGAAGTCTGCTGCCACCAAGTGGTGAGCAGGGGTAGTTTAGTTTTAAACTGGCAGTGCAAGTTTTTAAGCTCTCTATTCATGTGCTAAAAAACCAACAAACCTGTTTATGTTGATGTCTTTAGAATGTTGTTTATATTTCTATATGCATGTTCTCTGCAATGCAAAATAAAATAGGCAATGCAAGTGGAATATGTTTTTGGTAGTGGCCACCATGGAGGGTTGAGTTAGAGAGTGTGATTAAAAGAAAATAACCTTTGTGCAAAGATAAGTGTATTGAATAAATCCTGCAATCATCTAAAATCCTGTCATTTAAGTGTAAAATATTCACAATTACTAAAATCCATCTGAATCTACGCTAATCTAGATAAAAATCCACAAGGTGTCCCTGCTGGGGCATAATGTTCTCATACAGTGAACACTTGCTGGATGAGCTGCATCTTTCCTACTGATGCAGATACTATAGTTAGCCTCATTCATTGCAGTAGAAAACAAGTGATACTGCTCTTGTTTGCCATTTTATAATGCATGGACACAATAAGAAAAAAAACTAATTAGGCTGGGTGAGGGAATATTAAAGACAATATTTTTCTTTGAGTGGATTTGTTATGTTTGTTAAGATGTCCTGACAGTAAGTCTTAACAAAGGGATCCTTTTTGCATTTGAGCACCAGCTGCAGAGAATTTAAAAAGGCAAAATCTCAATACAAGCTGCTGCTGTTTTTCCTAAAACTGTAAATTGTTTCCATAATGTTTCTTAATGTGGCACTTTAGAGATTTTCTTTCCAAAAAGGTAAGAAATAAAAAGTGATGGCACAATGTCTTACTCGTCTTGGCCTCACAAAATGAAAACCTTAAAATAGAAAACTCATAATGAACCAAATTTCTAAAGCTCTACAGCAGTGCTGTCCTAAGTGTTGCCCTCAGAGGAATTTCAGGTGGGCCTTGATCACAATTTTAAAACATTTAAATTAGATTGGCCCTTAATGCAAATACACATAAAACCTACTATAGTGCTATTTCTCCTTATTAAAACCTGTAAAGGAAAGTGTACGGTAGAACACATAATTTTCACCTTTCATCACTTTTTGCTTCTAGTTTTATTAAACTGCTGTTGGACATTTCATTTTAGTCGACCCTTGGCTTCTAAAGCCAATTACCATGAACTCTTGGTGACTGTTTAACTGACATGAGGTCCTGTAGCTTCATCTATAAACATAAAACTGGGCTCAAGTAGATTCGAATTTTTTCAGGCGTTTCCTAATCATTACCCATTCAGGCATTCTTTACCTACTGATTATTTTTCCTTTGTACTGTAACACATAGGAAGCAAACGTGCTGCAGTTTATCCGACAGTGGCAGCAGTTTAGAATTGGTGATGGTAAAAAATTATTACATTTTCATCTGTGCAGAATTTTTAGAAAGTGCATCAAATTACAGGCCCAAAAAAAAAAATAATTAAAGTCTTAGTTTTATGGCATTAAATACAAAGAACTGAATAATTGTATTTACTGGTCAATGATCAGCACTAATAAGGGAATATCAGCCAATTCTGATCTCTTGCTGATTCAATAGCAAATCTCAGTTTATTATCTTTATGGCAGCCACATTTAACTTCTATTTAAATCTATTTCACTAAATAACTTATAATTTTTAGAATATATGTTACATTTAAGCTCAAAAAGTATTGATTGCATGGGTAATTACTTTCAGACTTGAATACTGGACTCCTTATTCTCTAATAAGTTAATTCCCACACAGTAACACAAAATTATGCTTTTTTGTTGTTGCTTTCTTTGACCAAAATACTAAAGAAATGTTACAACACATACCGGCAGGTAAACAGCGAGTGTCTTTGAGATGGGTCAATTAAAACAGAAATGACTAATGTTGCAGAAATTTGAGAGAGAATGGATTCAAACAAAGGGTTGGGTAATACGGCTCACATGCAGCAGAGCATTTAACTAGAGGTGATACTTTGTACATTTATGGCTCATTGTTGTAGTTCAACACCTGATTGGTGACAATACTGTATCTTCCCATTAATAATCAACAGGGATAATCTAGAAGGAAAACTAAGTAAAAGTGTCTTTGGAGTGGTTGTCCAAGCTCTGTTTGATATGTTCGCTGTTAAATACAAACTAAATGTATTCTCCTCATTTATTATTATTTTGGAAATAAGAAAATAGGCTGAATGAGGGAACTTCTGTAATTTAATGATCAATTATCCTAACCTAAGTATATCACAGATTTGTCATTAAAACCCCAGAAATCGGGAAAATGAACATCCTTTGGATGGGTTGACATGGAAAAGGAGGCAAACAGAGTTTTACAGACTAATAATGGTTATTTCACTCATGCAGCAAAGCTGGGGTGAAAAAAAAATCCTATAATTTTAATCTTACAGATTCCTATATGAGCATCATTGCGATGTTTTTATATTGACCCATTCTGCCACTGACTGACTACAGGTTGCTTTCTTGGGTGTCGTTCGAAGTGATGAGGGGCAGACCTCCGTTGGCGTTTAATCTCTTGGCACGGTACGTCTCGTAGTGAATGTTGTGAGTGACCTCCTTCAAATCCTGCAGGTGGGACCTGCAGATAGGTTGTGCAAAAAACAAATAGCACAGTTCAAAGGTCATTTCAATCTTTTGAATTGAACAATAAAAACATTTGATTACTTGATAGTAATAGAAACAAGTCAAAATACATCTCCTCATTTGGCATGTCTAATTTACAAAATAGAAAAATCAGTGCTTATCATTTTATGTAAAGTTTCACTTTGTGGTAAGTATTTGCTTAATTATTCAGGTTGATCTTGTTTTACAGTCAAAGCTTACCACTGATGCTATTCCTATGGGATAATGAGTTGCTATTTATTAAACAGCATTTATTTGATCATTTAAAATGCAGGAGTGTAGTTTTCATTAGGGGAGGGAAGATACCTGAAAAATTGGATATCTTTATAAAGCAGTCTAATGGCTTTTCCTTTCAGATTTCAGTCAGTCATGCAAAATTGTTCGGTCTATTTTAGAATGTTACATGACTGGTAAAATCAAAGCAGGTCATTAGCTGGATTCCATGTATGTACACCCAAACTAGGAGGTCAGAGTGACGCAATCTCAGAGGCTTAGGGATCTCATCGATCCAATATAGTCACAATTGTAACAGTTAAAACCATAACAAAGTCAAAAACCGTGATCTACAAAGTGTTTTCACAGCACTGAAACATCTTGTTTTATTAAAAGTGAAGAGTAGTATGTGTACAAAAAACAAAGTAGGTCAGTTTGAAGGTCAGAGCTACAAGGTTTTCATCAAATTGGTACTTAAAAAAAACAAAAAAACTCCACAGAACATCTGCAGTGGAACAGAAAGAAAAATATCAAGAAAAAGCAAAGAAATGTTTTTTTTTTTTATTAATTTTGATGGGATCAAAGAAGTATTTACTTCTGGTTGTGACGCCAACATAGAGGATCCTGTACCAATAGGAATAGTAGGTTCCCAGATCCTCAGCCTCATATTTCTCAGAATCAAACCTCACAAAAATACCCAAAACAGTACAGAATGAGAGTGGACCACTTACTGGCAGAGAGAAGTTAAACTTCTAGCTGTCACCTTTAACTACTGTTAACACAAGCAGCCGCCATTTTTAGTGCAGAAGTCGGGTAAGGTATTGTTGCCTCGACTTTCTGAATCATCATTTCAACGTTCTTTTAAATATTCTGCTCAGAGTTTGGAAATTATGACATTTGAGAAGGAATGGAATGCAGCATATTTCTAGGCTTTGGACATAAATGTGTTTGCTTGCTTCTTAGCATTTCTTTTGTCAGCAAAAAATAAATTCTTTCAGGATAAATTTTATTTAACCACTGAAAATTGCACAATGTCTGCTTTCTGACCATTTTAGCGGATTGCTCTATGCCATGTGGATTCATTTGTATGAACAACTGGGTATCATGAGGATAATAGTGTTAGCAGCTGCCAGGTTTCCTGATGTTGATGCTCAGAGACATATCTGGGGGAGGGCAGAGATGAACCTAGAACAGAACCCTGGTAGTCGGAACATTTTCTCTACTGCATGATATGAAGCTATGTGTTATCTAAATGTAGCAAACTTGAACTGCTTCAGTTCAGATGTTTCCAACAACTGGTGCCAACATGTCCAGCTGATAACTTAATATGGTTGCAAGGAAAGATGTGGTGCCAAAATGTTACCAAAAAATGTGAAAGATGATTATCATTCTAAATAGAAAATTCATCCAATAACTTCTTTAATACTGAAAGCATAACAAAAATGAAAAATGCCACCAAAGTGGACAGTTTGGCAAAGCATAGGGCGCAGAGGGACTTAATTTGAGGTGTGGTCAGTATGAAGCGACAGCAAATGTGTGACCAAATGATCTAAATTAAAGCACTATCATGGCTGCAGTGGCGCCCTGAGAGAGATGGTTTTAAACCTTAACGGCTACGGTGGCTGAACATCTGACATGTACTAAGCTGTTTGGTTTTTAACCAATACATTTAACTGCAGGATCCACATTTCAACCCACAGAGGGCAGCATTGAGATTTTTGGCCAAATATTGCAGAATAGTTATCTGCAAAAGAAAGTTGATTTCAGGTTTTATTTACTTCTTAAATCTTTTATCGGGGCAGGGTTTAGATATGCTTCAGAAGGCAGACTTACCTGATCAGGAAATCTCTCAGCTGTGCAAACTCACAGTGGTTTGGATTTTCAACTGAAAAAAGAACAGAAAATAAAAACACATCAAAAAATAAACCCTACAATTTTCACTGGATGCAATCAACAGGCAAATTAACTAATCGGTATGATTTGACTGAATAAAATCTGTAAAGTCCCTTCAGATGATGTTATATTTTGTAGGCTAAATAAAATAAACAGATTTTATTTCATTTTGATATGTTTTTATGGCAAAAGCACCAAAAAGTCATTAACATTGCTCACCTTCTATGATTCCCCACGGTATCTTTCTCCCCAGGACTCGTTTACCATTCACTTGGTATTCTTTATCACTTCCAACCACAGCAAAGGGCATCGTTTCCTGCAGACAGACAGATTTCACAATAATCCAGCGTTGATAAAAGTTCTTTACATAAAAAAAGTGTTTCCAGTATCCCTGCGTCTCACACCTCTAATGGATTACAACAAAAATGTGACCGAATTCAAACAACTTTTCATTTGTATTGGCCTGACCAGAGACAGACTGGCTAGAAACAGTTTTGTTAAACGCAACATAAAGGCTCCCAGTGGCACAAACATCACTCTACAGTGTGAATGTCGCATCTGAAGAAAACCCAAAGCTAGCAAAGTTTGCAAAAATAAAATCAAGGAGGTGGTAAGAAGGTGGAATTTTCTTTTAGACAGCTGTCAGCTGTTCATTCAGGCTATTGCAACATTAAGCAGATAATGCTGAGATCATCACAATAAAATGGTTTAATTATATCCTTTAAGCTGTATTCTTGTGCCTGTCAGGAAAGGCATTGTATTTGTAAATGTGAATATAACACCAATTGTTTTCTTTGTTTTAAATAATAAAAAATATGGTTTTGAATGAAAACTGTTTTTTACATGTCATGACTATTACTTTTCTTTTTCAAATAATCAATTTTTTCAAATTATATAAATAAACATCATCTACTGGTATTTGTACATCTTTCATACAACAAATCGGTTCTTTCCAACCAAATCTCATTAATCTTTTTTCTTCCTTGCTTATGTTTCATAACAAAAAATACAAAAAGGAAAAACAAATGAAAATAGTTTTTATTAAATTCGTCCCTTCTGGGAGTTGACCATAATTTTTAGGGCAATGAAACAAAAGCTTTCTGTTTTGCAACAAACAATGAAACTATAACCAAATCTTTGCAGCTAGTGGTGTCAAACAGTGAGCCAGTTTATCAGTTATGAGTAGAAATCTGAGAATAGAAAATAAAGAACTGATGTCACTGAGATATAGAAGCCCAAGGAGCACAATGGTTGAAAAAAAAATCTTGATTTTCTAAAAATGAAATCTTCATAACCAAAATCAACTAATCGCTAAAATAAATTATTAATGTCTAAAAGTGGATTTTAATTGAAAAAAAGTGTTACTGGGATTAAATAGATGAGAAAGAAAGGAAGGAAGGATGAACTCACTCTGATCTTGTCGTTGTCACTCTTGTCCTCGATGTCGTCATCAAACTCTTTCTGTGGGTAAAACTCGATCCCGTTCATTTCCAGCTCCTTCCTAACCTGCGCCAAAACAGAATGCAAAGACAGAACAGCTCACAGTTTCTTCACCCCAACACATTTCTAATAAAACCAGTTATCATCTGTTAAGTGACCCAAATCGTCTGTGATGATCCAACTAACCCGCTGTTTGAACTCTTGTCTCTCCTCGATGGTCATTGTGTCAGACTTTGCGATCACAGGAATGATGTTCACCGAGTGACTCAAACGCTTCATGAACTCCACATCCAGCTGTCGAAGACTAGCACAGACACACACACAGAATAAAAACTGAACGTTTGCATTATAAAAGGTTTCTAGAACAGCTCACCCCTCTCAAAAAGTAAAGATAACACACTAATAACTAACACTAGGAGGCAGCACAGAGCAATATTTCAGACACGGCATCAGTTTTACTTCTCTGTTTACCAACTACCCAAGAATTATAACCTGATGTGGCCCAACATTTATCAGAGCATTTACAGAATGGGTACAGATTTACGAAAGACTGCAGCCATTAAGGAGCCATTTCCCTGTTGTCAGCAACAGCTTATTGTGGGGCGCCTAAAGGCTGATATATACTCAGAAACCAGGTCGTCTGCATGTGTCTCGCAGTGAATGCAAATATGCACCCGCCCCTTCCACAGAAACTCTGCTACACCTCTCTGAAATTGTAGGTGACTGCAGACAGTGCTGCAGACAGGAGGCCTCTGATTGGTCAAATCTAAATCCGCTCTACACTATCTGTATTTCCTGGTTGGTACCTTACCAGCTTGTTTTGTTTTTATGACCGCCATTGTGGAAAAACGACTCGTGAAGATGGACCAGCTAGAAGAGCGAGGTGTGCAAGAATGCTGGGACCCTTTTTTCCACTTGTATCCCCGCTATTTTTCGCCCTCATGACATTGTCGCACCAACTTGCCCTCACTTCCTCACCACCTCTTGCGTTGTGGTGTGGAATAACAAAGCGCAGACCACGCTTAAATATTGGGCATAAATCAAAAATATCTGCAACAAGCTCACAGCGACACACTACTGCGGGAGTATAATCAGCCCATTCAGGGGGTCAAGGTGCCACCCAGGCAGCTCCCAGCCAAAAACAGGGATTTTCCTCCGCAGTTTTACTCACGAGTGGCCAGTCGGGGGAATAAAGTAGAGGCAGCAGTGTACTCTGGTGTCAGGGATTCGCTTCTTCCTGGTGATGTTCACCTCTTCTTTCAGGAACTTCTCAAACTGTTCATTGATGTACTTAGAGATGGGTTCCCAGCTAGGGGGGAAAAAATGCACGATTGTTATAGATAACATATGTTACTGCAGCTCTGTGGAGCTCAAATGTTATGTTTTCATCACGGTTTGGATCGTTTTTTGGGTCGAGATTACATCAGGCTGATATCAACATGGTAGGTTAGTCAGGAAACTTACCAGTTGTCGTTGTTTATTTGGTCTCCAAAGCCAGGAGTGTCAACAACTGTCAGCTTCATCTTGACCCCACCCTCTTCAATCACTGTAACCATAAAAGTAGAGACAGATGGATTTTCCTGGTGAGTCAAACCATGTTATCTACACAGGTTGGTCTAATCTTGTCATAATCTTGGTGCTGATGACTGGCCTAATTACTCATTTCATTCACCTGCCTAGCTCCGCCCAGCTCTCGTTACCGTTCATCAGATTCACCTGTTTCAGGCTCTATTTAACCAGCCTTCATCCAGTCATCAGAGCCAGATTATTTGAGCTGAGTATTAGGACAGGAGGTGCTGAGCAGCCTGTTGGAAGCTCTCTACTGCCACAGACCCAGCTCCAACATCCAGCCTCTCCTCATCCTGATCTGTGTCCCTCCACCTGGACACTTGATGGCGGCTTGGGGGAGCTCCTCTGGGCCAGGCTGCTCAGGTGGAGGTGGGGGGCTTTGTCGTTAAAGGAACACTAACAATGTTCCTCTAACGATGAAATGAGAAATCAGGCCAGTCATCAGCACTAAGATCATAACAATTCCAGTTTCCTAATGCCAACAAACTACTGAACATTACCTTTATTTTATTTTTTTTACTTCATTAACAGATGGAAAACAAGTTTTTAGAAGCACCTGACTTTATCTAGAATGCAATATTAGGAGCTGCAAACTTAACTTTGAATTTCAGAATAAGAATTACTTCACAAGCCTGTTTTTTCTTCCAGTATGAACAACATTTGGGAATTATATTCTCTAACTAGACATCAAATAGCTTGAGTTAACAGACAGATAACTTTATTATTTTTTGTAGCTTTTTTCACTGAGAGGATCTTGACGACCAGGGTGGGAATATTGTCCTAATCATAAATTCTGACCCAGGCTGAGAAATAAGAGGATAATGTGAATTGTATTTTTTTCTAGGGGCTGTGTCTGTTCGACTGGAAAGTGTATCATGATATAAACCCTTCATAGCCGTCAATATTGATGATTGTAAACCAGGTATTCCCCATTCCTGAATGTGTTTGGCTGAGCCGCGTTCCATGCTGTTATGAAATACAGTTTAACCCACAATTAGATCTAGTAAAACCGCAGGACATCGGATGTAGCGGCTAAATTGATTGTAGGTTTTTATGGCTAGACGATGCACACTTAATCTAATTTAGTGTTGAGAATAAAAGGTTCTCAGTCATCTTAGAAATTGTTCATGTTAGAAGGACGCTGCTGCCTAAACTTTTATCTTTGTGGTGAACTTTTCACTGCTGGGTGGATGAGCGGTTGAGGAAGCAGCGGTTGAACAGTGCAGATTTCCTCGCAGGCACGATGCCTCACATTTGTAAAGCAGTCAGTTGAAACTCAGCCACCAAGATCGTCTCCAGTAATCGTAACCCTAACCCAAGGAACAAACTGCCCAATGCTGGTGTGGAGGTGCGGTATGTTCTCTCTATGATGGGACAGCACTGTGGTCTAGTGAACCTTGGTTGCTTGGTAACCATGCTGTTCACACATTGGTGGGAAAAATAGTCTCTGTTGCATTGTTTCATTATTAACAACAAATATTTTTTTTGTGTCTGTGGGTTTGACTATGTTTCTCTGAGATATTGCTTTATTATTGGCTAGTATTTTTAACCCTGTGTAAACATAACCAAAAACCTTTAAAAATCGCTCACCCTACTACAAACTTTTTTAATTCAGGAGGTTGAGAGGCTAAATCCTGTCCTTACTCACTTAGTTCTGAATCAGAGTTCAGAATAATTAGTTTTATCAGATATATTGATATCGATCATTTGCCTATCGCAATTTATACTGTTGTCATCTTGAAACTTGATGATAAAAAGACTATTCCAGGATGATTTCTGGGAATTAAATAGGAAGAAACAACAAAAAAAGCTTTTACATTGGATTTCTGTTTTACAAACATATTCTCTTGATTATTACTGATCTATCCCCTCATCTTGAAGTGTGATCATATATCTGTCCTATCATGTGCCCTTTCATCTCCTCTTTATTCTCTCACATATTTCTCTCAAACTGTTGAGAAAACACCACATCTGTTGATCCTGTGCTGCTATCAGTAGAGATGCTCCAAAAAGAATCCGCTGACTGCTGTTATTTATGAATATTGAAAGATTGTTTAATCCAGGACTACTTGATTAACAGATTACAAAAAAGAGCAATGGAACCAGGTTAAAGTTTCTACAAATAAACCAAAAAAATAGAAACTAAATAAACCTGCATTACTTACTGTCTGGATTAGAGGTCAAACTCTGTCGATAATTAATTAGAATAATAACAGAGTTTAGTTCATTTAGGTTTGATCAATTTTAAGTGTAGAGAGGGATTATTTTGGAGCATACATCCTGTAGACCAAAAGCATGATAGTGGGTAAGGCTGTGGGTTTCTTCACTGCTTCAATGACTGGACAGCCTGCAGTCAGTGATTCATGTATTATTTCTGCACTGTATCAGATTTGGCTCGGCGACACTGTGAGACCATCTGTCTGAACTAGAAACTGGGCTTTCTTGAAAAGGAAAACAAAAAAAGGAATATCTGAAGGTAATGCCTTAAAAATACATAATGTTGAACCGTGTCTCACTGTAGTGAACTCTTACTGTCTATTCCTGAGCAAAGCAGCCTCTGTGGGTCGTTTCTTTTTATATCTTATCAGGTTACTGTGCGGCTACTCATTAGCCTAATTAGCTGGAAACTATCCCATCAGGTATTTTTTCACTTTACATCATTTCGTTCCAAGTGTTTACATCCTGCTGTCTCAAATTCACACGGAGAAAACGGGTTTGTTTAGATATTTTAAAAGGCAGAAAATGAAACCCCAAGATTCCAGTGGTTCTTAATATAAATGGATCGCTACATGGATTTTTATTATATATATATTCCAGCACTGGACTATAAAGTATTGGCTATACTGTTGGAAGACATGAGAAAACAAACAGCAGAGCAGAGTTAGTGATGCTAAGAGAAAAGATGAGAGTATACAAGTTTGTCAAAACCAACAGAGCTAAAAGGCTTTTTTAATTACGGCTCCTGGGAAACTGATCTTTAATTAGGAGCTGCGAGTCAAAGCGGCAGATATAAATGTCCTTATCATAAAAAGCCTCCAGCACTGATCTTTTGAAACCCACCATCTACGTCATGAAGCTTATCTGCCCAACTGGACAAATATCACTCAAGTCTCTTCGTTTAATTACCTCCCCTTTATTCATATATAGTTGATTTATTCTGATTAGCTTGGGAATGAAAGCAAAGGCAGAGTTCAAGTAAACAACCCTTCCTCTCCCTGCCTAAAGCAGACTGAGTATTTTATACTGAACGTTACTGAAGCTGCTCTCTTTATAATGTTATATAGGTATAGTCGAGGTTTTTCACGGTCTTGGTTCTGTTAAGTTTTCTTTTGAGTTTTCACTTTTACTTTGCTCCATGTTTTCTGCTTTTATTGGTTTAACTCCTATTTTGTTGTGTTTTCTAGATATATTTGAGTTCTTAGGTTTTTCTTTGTTGCCCTCTGTCGCCCTCTTGTGTTGGTCTTCTTTTCCCTAGCTCCCTTCTAGAATCCTCTCTTCACGTCTGCTCCTAATTAGCTCATTAGTCCTGTCTTTGTTCAGTCTCCTATATAAACTCTCCCTGTGCAGTTCCTCAGTGCTGGTTCCTCGTCTTTCCCCAGCTCCCCGTGCTCGTTTTCCCCGATATCTCCATGGTTCCGGTTTGTTTTACATTTTTATCTTAGATTTTTGGCTTCCTGCCTCAGTTGATTGTGAACATTCAATTAAATCTTCAAGAACTCACCTCTGCCTCCCTGCCTCTGCATTTGGGTCCTCAAAATCTCCACTCAACCTGACACAACCCTGTAGCATGCATGAGCCCATTTCTCCTCGTGCACGCTCTGTTAAAAAGTGGCTGTTTGCATCGCTCACACAAGCTTACTTTCCAAAAGATTAAACATTTTTCCACTACATGAGACTCACCACTGGTAAGTGAAAATGGGGACAAGCACGTAGGACGGCCTTATGTAAAAATATCGCTAGAATGATTGACAATTAAGAGGACCACTTATTTTAGTGAAAAACGAACATCCTCCACTATACCTTTAAGTAAATAAACCAAATGCTCTGAAGGAAGGCGAAGATTTTTTTCTTTTTTTACTCACCATGAGACACTGACTTGATCTCTACGGTTTTGGGGATCTTCTCATCACGAGACCATCCTGCACTCTTCCTGCTCACCTGGGACTTGAATAAAGTGTTCACCAGGGTGGACTTGCCGAGCCCACTGTGACCTGAAGGGGAGTTGATGCAGGTTAGAATTCGAATAAGCTAAAGAGACGATATAAATGGGAGAAATGTGATCTATTGTGACGCACCAACAACCATGATGTTGAAGTCAAAGCCAGTCTTCATGGTCTTCTTTCGCATCTGTTCAATGATGGTGTCGATGCCAATGTAGCCAAGCAGAGCGGAGCCCCCGCTGGAGCTGTGAGAGCCTCCGTGACCTTGACCCCCGCTGTGAGCTGGAGCATGACCCCCGGCATGAACGCCGCTGTGGCCCACACTGTGACCGTGAATGCCAGCAAGGTTTGCACCGTGACCGCCGATGGGAACTGGAATAGCACTTGGAGGAGCAGTAACGCCGCCCGCTCCGACACTTGGGCCCTGGGGGGGAAAGGGACTAGAAGGGGAGGGAGCCCCTACGTTCGGGGGCTTGGCAGGAACGGCTGGCTTGGGTCTAACCTCTGGTGGAACTATGTCGGACATGTCTGCAGAGACAGAAATACATTATAGTTGAGGAGAGGACCAAAGAGTAGGCCAGTATTGAACATCTTCTGTGCTCAGTATTAAAGCAATGAGTTTTTCAGCTAGCTTAAAATGTAAACCAATGGCTTAAAACTAACATGCACTTCAGAAATCTATGTCTTTGAAGTGCTTAACATAAAAAGAGGCTTTGGAACAGCCTGGTCCAAGTACAGCTTAAGCCCAACCAGCATGCATTCACAAGATCAACTCCTACCTCTTAAAGGCCTCATCCCTCTACCCCACAAACAAATGTCATGTTTTTCTAATCTTTCTTTGTCTTTAACTGTCTGGCAAATAATGGCGGCGGTACTTTAATCCAAATTGCTAAATATTACAGTTTTAACAGATATTGGAGTTTTAATAGATAGAATAGAATTCAGCTTTGTTTTCATTACAATGTCAGAAGAACATGAAATTCGCTCTCTGCATTTAACCCGTACCTTTGTGGAACAGTGGGCTGCCACTGTGTGGTAAGGGTCTTGCTCAGGGACCCAATGTGGCAGTCTGTGGGAATGGGGCTTGAACTCAGAACCTCTGGGATCGAAGCGCAATGTGCTTTTGCGCTTGCCTAGATATTGCCCTAGATATTGGAGTTTTAATAGTTTGAGCATCATTGCTTGTTTTCGGTCAAGTAAACATGTAAAATGCAGTAATCTGAAGGAGAGGGTTTGTGAGATTTTGCAGCTGAAATTAGTCATCTTACAGATACTTAAAGGAATCAGTAGTGCAAAACAGGGTGACCTCAAAGATTTTACAAAGATTATTTCCTGCACTTACTGACCACCTACTAAGGTGATGGAAGAAAAGCCTCTCATTAACTCTACCGTTATTTTGTAGGATATTCTTACACAGATGTTTCTTAAAAAAAAAACAAGGCTTTGATATAATGCCTTGATTTTTTGATAACAATCCTCGCATTTGTCTTAAAAAATCCCCACTGTTATAATCTTGGCAATGTCCCTTGTCAGTATTTTGTACAACAACCTTTTGGAAAGAGAATAAAACTCCATCTTCTGCTGTATTGTTCCCCAAGGTTGGAGCAAACAGACAGGAGTATCTCTGAATATTTTTATTTGCAAAAATCTTTGTTATTTAGAAACCAGGTGTTTTGGCTTCCACTTGGCTTAGATCTTGGATTTTTATTCCAAAATGGTTTGGGGATTAAGATGGCAATTTTGGATCTGATTTGGCAAGTTTTTTTGACCATTAACTTGGTACACGCTGTAATGGAGAGGCACTTTTGATCCCTTTTTAGATTCCAGCAGGTTAAAGGACTATTTACCCCTAAATTAGCTTTTGTTTTGCAAAAAAACTGTACAAATAATGAACTGTAAAAAAAAATTCTCTCTACATGTCCCAGGAAGTATTTGGAATATTTACTGCACGGTTCCTGCTGTTGTTCTCAAAGCCACCAGTTTGGCCTCCTCAGGTTAACCAGAGGTTAATCTGCTTCAAATTATTTTATTTTTCATAACTGACCACAGCAGCTCCATCTTGGGCAGCAGTGCTTTGCTTAGTGACTGACATACATTAAATGATTTAATAGATAGAAACATTTTAACATTGGATAAAATTAAATGGTATTGTTTTAGTACAGGGCGAGGGATTCAAATAGATTAAGAGAGCTGCATGAAGTGACATTTCTATTCAGTTTAATTAAAATTTTATGTCTTATTAGGTCAATATACATTCATAACTTAGGAATTTAACATGTTTTTGACAACATTTTAGTTAAAATTACTGTTTTCTATAAAATCTGAATTAGAACTCAAGAAAAACTGATAAATTCAGCAGTAAAAATGAGAGTAATTTGTTTTGAAAAAATATTTAGCAGATGAAAGCTGGGATCCCATCTCAATATCACTGAATCTATCACCTTATCACATTTAAGAATGAAAAACAGAGAAGAATTGGAAAAGAAAGAATTTTTAAAGAAAAAAAAATGAAATAGATCCAAAGGACCTATAAGTAACCATGTCTGTTCTAGCGCATATAGCGTATCAAGTAACGAAGTACAAATACTTTGTTACTGTACTTAAGTATCTATACTTTACTCCATTACTTATTTTTCTTCCTGCTTCTGACTTCTACTCATTACATTTTCACACAAGTATCTGTACTTTTTATTCCTTACATTTTTAAAACAAACGTTACTCGTTACTCTTGGCTTCGGTTTAATGTTTATACATATTTATTTCACGTCATGTGCGCCATCCAATGCAGATCATTGGCTCCATCTTCATCTACCTTGGCCCTATCTCAAAGAATTTTTCTAAATAGTTGAAAAATTCTTTCAATTCATATAGTGGCATCTGTCTGTGTTTTTTAAAGGTTACTTTATACTTTTATACTTTAAGTAGTTTTTGGAGCACGTACTTTTTCACTTACTTGAATAAAGAGTCAAGCTGATACTTCAACTTTTAACCTGCGGTATGTATACTACTACTGAAGTAACAAATGTGTGTACTTTTGATCTCCAGTGGCACTGTTGGCCCCTGTCTAGAACCGCCCATGAGTAAAAAAGAAGCTGGAATCCAGTACAGATACATGATGCATAATCTCAGGATTGGGGAAGGAGCCCAGATTAGTCAAACTTTCAGAGGAAAAATGAGCCTTTGGTTGCATCAGATCATTACAGAGACAAGCTGAGGCTGAGAGATGCTGATGGCAACTTGAGCCATGCATATGGAAGAGCCTCAGTTCCTCCCAGATGCAGGAAGCTGAGGTCAGTGAGGCAGCAGCTGTCGCTTTGAGTTAGTCCAGCCAGTGGTCATCACACAGCTCTGCCCTCTTTCACCCTCTCATAACCCCTCCTCTAGGAGGAACATTTCAGCACCTCAGGCTGATATCCTGTTAGGTGTGATGGGATCCTCACCACCTGATGTTGCTAACACAATGGAAGCTCATTAGGCTAAAGGTAAACGGGGGCGTTTAATGCAGCCTGATTGGTTATTTGAACGCGAGTTATAAAGGGCTCCGAATATGCGGTTAGCTCCATCCCCGCAGACCCCATTGTCTCTGCAGGCTGTTAGCCCGCTGCTAGCACCCTCCCTATCAGCAGCGCTAAACTCACCGAATCCCGTTCAGTCCGTCAGACGTCCTCCGAGAGAAAGCGGGCTGTTTAGTAAAATGCTCCCAAAACCTCAACGCAGGGATGCTAAAAGCAGGAGGGTCATGTGATGAGCGCCGATACCTTTTCTATCTCACCTCTGGCCGTCAGAGAGCCCCCCCCTCTTTGTCTGTTGCCAAGGCGACAAGAGGAGAGGGAGTGGGGAGATGCAGCGCACATGCGCACTGCAACTC